ACGTTGAGGGGAGATATCACGAGATAAAGATTTTGCTTTAAAAATAGCATTCTTCTAGAAGGTTTTGGATTGTACGTTGAGGTGAGATATCATGAGATAAAAATATTGCTTTAAAAATAGGATTCTTTTAGAAGGTTTCAGATTGTACATTGAGGAGAGATATACAGTATGCACCATGTGTTGATTATCATGAGGTAAAGATATTGCTTTAAAAAAAGCATTCTTCTAGAAGGTTCTGAATTGTACATTGAGGGGAGTATCCCACAACAAACATTACAAGTAGAACCCATTTAAAAAGGTAGAACTATTAACCACCCAAAGAATCCTTGAGGAATTCATTTTGTATACAGTTACCCAGTGTGCAATTGCTGTTTATCAAATTTACTGCTAGAAGCTGCTGAGAATACATTCATGTTGATTAGAGAAGATATTCTGATATGCTTATTCTGCTTTATCTTTATTTTAGTAGGACATTCTTGATGTAATTTATAGTTTTCATTGTCTTAAAAGGTTTTTAAAGGTTTTATTCTACTACCCTTTAGAATATTTAGTATTTCTATTATTCACTTAAACCCAGGCAAACTTTCTAGATATTTCCTGAAATATCTCATATAAAATTACACTTTTAGAAAAAAAAAAAGGGGGTCATTTTGGTAAAGGATCCTTTGAGTTCTTGGGATTTGTTCTTTTGGGTGAACCCTAGAAGAAACCTACCACAAATTGGTTTCCATTAAGGGAGCTAAAGTTACTTTGAGAAAACCATTTTTGTAAAAGTTTTTTTTTTTTTTTAACTGAGACACTTTTTTTAACTGAGACAGAATAATGTTTGATGTATAGGTGCAGTGTGATTATTACATTTTAGATATCGTTGGCTCTGTGAGTCTGTTCTCTGTTCAAGGTAAGTATGAATCGGCATGCATTTTAAAACAAATCTTAAAAGAACAGTTGAACATACGTTGATGAAAAACTACTTTAATATTGTACAACATGAATAAGCCAGTTATTCCAGTGAAATGTTTCAACACTGAGGTATTTCCCCACAGTCCAAACTTAACAAAATCACATATGTGAACGTTAAATTATCATGTTTGTACTGCAGCAAGGAGTTGGACACAGTCTCAAAAACATCTACACCATTGGTAATAAATTAGTTCTAAAGTTCATGGTCATTTATCAGCGTAGTACATTATTGAGGCTGATCTCCTTTCTTAGAGGAATCTTCCTGGGCCGGCTGGCTCTGCAGCTCTGGACTCTGAGCTGGAGGGCTGTTCACAGCAGGAGTGTATGTAATGGGCACCACTCTCTCATTTGCCCCAGCAGGGGTCTCCTTAGGGGCCTGGATCTGTAGCTGGCCATCATTCAAAGAGCAGGTTACCGCCTCAGGGTTCACGCCATCAGGAAGGTCAAACTCCTGCCGGAATTCTTGGCATCTGTAAGAGTATGATCCTTTCCCATCATCCTGCTTCTTCTCTGACTTTCCGCTCACACGCAGCTTCTTGCCCACTTGTTTGACGGAAAGCTCCTCAGGGGAGAAATCTTTTGTGTCCAGGGTTACTGCGAAGCGGTTGCTTTCTTTGCTTTCTTTGAACGAGATGGGTTTGAACACAGCCGAAGGTGAGGTATGGTCGATCTCATCGAAGATCCTCCTGTGGAGGCGCTCCATGAACTCCAAGCTGTGTCGCATCTCCTGCATGTGCCTCATCATCTCTTGTTCGATCTGGAAGAACAGAGGTCTCGTCTCAGGCCAAAGACTGCGCACCGGCCAGTGGAAGTCCACGAATGGGCTGAAGGAAGGCTGAAATGTGCTTGGGCAAAGCATCTTGGATCAGTGGATGGTCAGTTCTGCTGTGCTGGTTCTTGTTCTCGTTTGCTCGTCTCAGCTGTCTCGCTGCTTCTGGCTCGGTGCTCTCAGCACGCCACTTTTATATGCTGGGGTAGAAAGTTCCAGTAGCATTCCAGCTTCAGTCACTATGTGTCATCTGTGTGCCAGAGTGCTGTGATGACGTACATGCAGTCATACTCCAAAACAAGATGGATGGATGTGCTTGTGTGATCTAACTGCCACATGCCAGAAGAGTGTGTCCTTGTTCTATTTACAGCACGGTGACAGGCTTCCACAGACACATGCTGGGTATTTTGTTTTGTCATAAAACTACCCTAAACACAGCTGACACCTATTATTACTCTTATTGTGTTAGACAGAAAATGATAGATATGCAGGTTAATCGGCAGCAGAGCTGAAAAATAATTCAGTAACTGTACTTAGTTTTTATACTTAAGTATTGTTTTAGGGGATTTTGTACTTTACTTTAATATAATTTAATATAATTAGAAAGTAATAATTGTACTCAGTTGTATTTACATGAAAAAAGAAAAATTTTTTTTACTTCTTACATTTTCAAGTATGCATTATCATGATGCATTTTTTTTCTTTTGCCTAGAAACCAATTCAATTACTAACATTTCTGTGCATTTTACCTTCATTTATTAAGTAAGCAATAAAACACTCAATGTCATTCTGCTATAGGAAAATAATCAACAACAGTGTGGTGTGATGAAGTGGAGTTATTGTTACCACCTTGAAATTGATTACATTCCTATAACAATATATATTCTCTCATATACCACAACAATTTGCCAACATTTTTTTTTATTTATTAACAAAATATG